TCCTGTTGGTTAAATTATTCGATCCATATAAAAGCTCCTCTAAAGCTTTAAATGGTAATGGATATTATTCTTTGCAGGAACATCTTGCGGTTTTCGAACGATTTTGAAACATCTTGGACGCCGTATGGCGAACATTATCGTCCATATCTGTCGAACAATTTTATGACTACTGGTATGTTTAAGATCGTTTTACTCGGTCGAAGGTAACGAAATATCATTGCGCAATCATCTAATGATTTACAGCGCGATTTACGTTCCCTGACAAACTAATAGCGTAATATCGAATCCTTCGTCAATTAAAACGTCGATAAATACTAATCTAGGCCATCCTGTCGAACCTATGTACTGTCAGCTCGACAGAAATTTATGGCGTTACTTTTAAGCTAGCGCGTTGCAGAAGGATTCGTCAGAAATTCGTAATTTTCCATTTCGCTACGGTTATTTGCCTATAAAGCTAGAAAATAGTTTCGCCAATTTGTAGTGAGTTATTTTTAAAAGGAAAAATTCAAGAAGACTCGTTTACATTGGAATTTCCATTTGAATGTAAAGCACAAGGGGGTATTTTACATAAAGGATAGTTCTGAAGAAAATTGCCTTTCATGTTGGACAACGGATACTGTTTGTTAATCTTGTTCCTTTCAACTCTCAGGAATCGAAATTAACGTTTTCAGAGCTTCAAAATTTAACTTTCCACAAATCGTTTCAGTCGTCCCAAAATTGGGGATGATGGACGCGCGCAACTTAGATCCATTCACCATTGATCCTCGTTTTAATTAACAAAATTAAATCCGCCTTTCCCGGCAACAAACTCGTAGCCAGAACGAAACGCTAACAGTCGGGTGAACTTTTAACGAGATCAATCTATTGTTACAACGCTACGTTTACAAAACAGTGTGTTAATAACAAGGGCGTGGTGAGAGGAATAAAAGAATGCGAATTTCTTTTTACGTGCCTTGGTAATTATGAGCGCGAACGTAATTAAATCGCGAGATTTAATTTACTGGAGGGCACAAAAGGGCTCGCGGAGAATCCTTTGTACTCGACGTATTTATCAATTAAGTACAGCTGCTTTCACAGTTTAACTTCTTTTCTATTTTAGAAGCTTTCAAATTACATTGATTCAGAAAGAAAGGAACGATATTTTTCTTTCGTTCGTTTGATTTTGAAATGTTTATGGTTTCTGGAAAGTCAGATGTGTTTGAAGCTTTTTGCACGGCCATTGAACACTCAGTGAAATTGTCTGACGGCCGCTGTTTGCAAATATATCTTTCTCTCTTCACCGCAATAGCGTGCAATAACGAGTCGCGTAGAAATCGATTCGTACGGAAATTGAAATATCCTTGAGGCTACGTGTACGTGAAAACCATTTCGACAGCTTCAAACGTTTGATCAGGGTGAGAGAACTCCTACGCGATTTCGGCAATAATCAACGAAATATATTCGGCTCGATGAATAACACCTTTTAGAGTAAAATCATATCGTCATCGTCGGTAATAATATTGTATTATTATTATACAAAATATTCGACACCGTTTTAAAATGAAACCACCGAAGAGAAAAATTTCCCTGAAGATTTGCTAAGAAAAAGGCTATTTTAAAGCGAAAAGAAAGAAATACCATTTCTAAAAAGCTCCGAAGAGGAAAGTAGCTATTGATCTATATTCGATGTTCTATGAATTAAAAGAAGGTAACTAAAAATTTTTCTTTCTTTCGAAGTATTCAAACTGATTATCTTTACCTTTCCTCCCTCCCCCAAAAAATGAATAATCCGACCCTTGTTATTGATAGAAAGCATACATATGCTACTGAATGGCGGCGATTCGGTTTGAAAGAAAAAGATTTCCCTAAAGATCAAGCGAGCAGCTAGACAAAAAACCTTGTCTCGCCCTTCGCGAAGGTATTGGAAGTTTCAAGGTCGAGCAAATACGATCGATCCGCGATGAAACTAGAAATATTATGATGAAAAAGAATTTGTTAACATCTTAAGCAAACTCGTTACGATTCCAAAGGATCTTTGCGAGGAAGGAATAGAAAAGGGGGATGGAATCCTAATTTAATATACGTTCGTCCACCGGTCGAAGCCTTTTATCCGTCTGGGTCAGTCCTTGAAGAATGGCCTGGTGAGGGCAAGGCTAGGGCACGCGTTTACGCGACACGGTTCGGCCTAGCCAACCATCTTCGACCATGATGGGCAAGGTTGATGGCGGGCTTGAAACGAGTGGCTCGAACTTCTTACCCCCTGCTAGGAATTACCGTTGCTCTTAGAGGCTGTACCAAGCTCGAGCATTTAATGCTACGCCCGTCGTAACACCTTCTTCTCCTGCCGGTTTCTATCCAATTCTCTCGAACGTGTGTTCGTGCGTGCGGCCAGGAAATAGAATGGAAAAGGCGCCGTGCTTCCGAGAAACATTTCCAACCAACTGGCTCTCCTTTTTCTTTCTGAAAACCCTATACATACACCGGTTGAATATGTTGCACTCGTTGACTACCGCATTTTATGCAACTGCATCTGCTTCGGTTCGTCCGCGCGTTAGTTTAACGTGCTCCAAAGAAATTATTCGTTATTGTCCGATGCCAGAGAAAGCGGAGATAAATCAATGTAACATTTTCCGACGAACCATCTTCGCTAGAGGATATCCAGAATCGTAAGCCACGCGGTTTTATCAGATTGAAAGCGGTCGACGAATTTCTAGGATGGAAGTAACAACGTTCCTCTCGTTAACGAGCCTCGATAAGGGCTTCATTGTGGACCGGCTAGGAAAGGACGATCTTCTTTTCCTGCAAATTCAGACGAATTGCATTATAGCGGTTGGATTGAATTTAACGGGGCCTCGTTTCGCTCGCTTTCAACCGGCATAAAGATGTACGAGCTGGCACGAGTGCCGCGTTTATGCTGGAATATTTAAGAGCCGAAATAATCAAGCTTTACTTTCATGGGGAAAATTCCCAGCAACGCGAGTATCGTTCATTTGGAAAAAGAACTCGCGGAATTTCGGACAATTAAAGTTTTAATTGCTGGTCGTTGGAAAGAAACTGGGCTCGTAATTGGAGAATAATTTTTCGAGAATGAAAAGGATTATTTGACTCGCAAGTAAGTCGAATTTTTTTCACTGAATAAGCGATCTGATCAACCGAGCGGACATTTTCGCCGATCGTATCGATTGATCGTTAATAAATACGGGATGCAAATAACGCGTAGGCAACGCGTCGAATGTTTGCGAGTACCGATAATTGCCGGTCAATATTTCTGATTCATTACCCGACCGATCATCGTTCGCCAATTGTAAATATCGTACACGCTAATTACGTCAATGCAGCCCGTTCGCCTAATTGCAGGTCATTTACTCCAACCCACGGTTTCAAGTATCCATGAATGAATAACTGATAAAAAGGTTTTAATTACGACCTTAATTTATTCGAATAATTAAAAACGCGAGGAGAGAAGGAACGGTCTGAATTTACCACTGATATTTCATATTTGACCACGATTAATCTCCCTTGCAAATATCCCCGGGATGGCAAGAAATAATCTTTTTCCACCAAATCACTTATTTCGCAACTTCGTAACCCGATGAATAAATGCACATTCCGAACAATTTTTATAAATTTTACAAATTCAAATTTCACTCACCCTTTTTACGGGTTACGATTTTTCGATGGAAAGAATTTTTATGATTGATCTTTCTTTTTGCTGTTCTTCTTGTTTCATTGATAAACGCTTTAGAGCAAGGATAATGTATGTATATATATGTAGGTATATTCGGATCGCGAAAGCTGGCGCCGGAGATAATCGATCGTGGAAAATAATCTTCCGCCTCGATGCTTGCCAACAGGCAAACATTTTCACGAGTATTCGTGAATTTACTCGCTCGGAAAGGAATAAAAAGGTGAAATGAAATTAAACACTGTTGCGCGCTCGTCTATTTGTCATTGTTAATTCACACGCTAAATTAAGCAATACTGCCAAATTTCTCTCTTCACTTTTTCATTTAATTATATCGCCTCTGACGCTATTTCCCTTTTTCGAATAACTGAATTGTATGCAGAATATTTCAAACGAAAATTATACCCGATGAAAACGGTACGCATAGCTGTTAAACGTCAGCATCTTGACTTCCTGAATGCCCTATTCAGATGTTTATTGAAGTTCCAGTGGATCAATGGTTCGCTACGTCTCGTAATTCTTCGAAGCTTGTATGCTCAGAGAACCCCTGGAATCTTGAGTAGCACTATTATTGGACACTTTCTCGCGATTCTCTCGGCCAAAGTTAGATCCACTCGAAACAACCATCGTGTTCTGTTCTACAATCTGTTACACCGAAGACCACCAGAATAGTTCATGGATAGCAAAATGATTTTTGATCCCTTGGAAAGTTTCGATAGCTTTCCAAAGAAGAGTAAAATTTTGGGGATCGAGAATTCGAAGGTTCTTATCTTCGAATTCGCTGGAAAAAATGAACGAAAAGGAATTACCTTCTGCCTCAAAAGATAACGTGTGAAATTGCAACGAAAAATTATAGCGTCCAGGGTGTTGTGCAAGTTTATTGCGACACCCTGATCGTTAGAAGAAGCTCCCTTTTGGGAATCGTGAATCTCTTTCTTCAACGAAGAATTAACCCTTTAACTCTCGAGACATCGAGTATATTGAAATTTGTTGAGAAGAAACATCTGTTTCAATTTTAATACCAAGTTGAACTGTATAAATGTTTCGAAATATTTATTTAATTAATCTCCTAATTAATATTGAAGATGAAATTATGATATTAAAATTGCGAGTATTAAATGTACATATTAATTATAATTATTTAATATTATTCATCTGGCAAAATAAAAAAATGTTCATGTTTCACTATCAATTTAGTGGTCTGATTAAAAAATCAGTAGAAGATGTCAGTCAATGATCAGACAAAGCTCTTTTAACTTCATTAGATACATTGGAATGTATTTCTTTGTTTTCAAAGACATTTCTTAACAAAATAAATATTTGTGTGATTGTCCAGGTAAAGCAGTGCCGTTTGTCGAGTTGACTGTGGCCCATGCATCGGTTCTTACAATCTTGGCGATCAGCTTCGAACGATATTACGCGATCTGCGAACCTTTACGAGCAGGGTAAGTATCAGAAAAATTGAATATTGATAACATTTCGTTTGAAAAAGTTAAAAAAATGGTACATTGGATTCGCTTACACAACCGTCGATGGAATTCTAATAGAAGTTTTCAGGAAAATCTGCAATTCTGATACGATTTTTCGGCTACCGCGCACCCCTAGTTCTAAAACGATTCATTGTACGAAATTCCTTTCAACGATCTCCTTTTTTTTTCTCCACAGTTTTGACTCGTAATCAATGCGAAATGCGTGTGGAACGCAGTCAATCCCCATGTTGGTCACGATTTAGCTTATCGAATCCCTGGGCGCGATTTCTCCACGATCATCCACGATCTATTGTTACCGCTTTTCTGGTATTGCCATACCTGCCGATTGGTATTAGATTCGTGTTTCACGGTATCCCAAATGTCAGTCACGATTTGCCGCGAATCTGTTCGCGAAACATTGCTCGACGAGCGATTTCTATTTTTCTTTTTTTCCAGATACGTATGCACGAAGGCCAGAGCCACGTTCCTTTGCCTGCTGGCGTGGGTGGCCGCGGCACTTTGCACGAGGTGAGAAAATAAATGAAAAGAAAAATCGAAGCATCGACTCATTACATCGTCGCTTTATTTTTTTTTTTTTTTTTCGTTTCTCCTGGCTTTTTTTCCCCCGCGGCTGATGCATGTCACGACTTTTTTGTTTGCGTTTTAGCAATCTTTAACTTCTTTCTCTTACCACCTTCTTTCTTCTTCCCCGCCTTTTTTTCATTCGCTCTTGCTGTACATCATTTTCGCGCGACAGAAATACGCGTGAAAATAACAAGTTTTCCATTTAAAAGTAATTCAAAAGTTCTCGCGTTTCTTTTTAACTTGCTTCTTGAATCATTTTTTCTTTGAAAACAAAACATTTGTTACGTATTTTTCTGGTACGCGCTCGCTTTGATTGCAGATCGTTATTCGAGGCCTGAAGAGTTTCTTGTTTCCTATACCTATAACTTTTTATAACTTTACGACCGAAGCAATTAATTAAGCCGCGACCCTTTTCACGACTTCCTGTCGCGATAAACTTGATCGTCGAACTGTTAACTTAGTTTCAGTAATATCGAAACGGGATGCTTGAATTTTTATTATTCGATCAGCCATTCATTGGTGTACTAATTTTAATTCGTCGGGAAAAACAAGAGACCTTTATTACCAATTAAACAGCTATTTCTGTATTTTTTTACGAGATACACTTCAGAGTCTTCTTTTGATTACTTTAAAATCGATATATATCATTCTTTTATTTGCCTATAAATTTATAGTTATTTTCTTTCGAAACAAAAGGATTCCTGTTGACCGTACTTTAATGGGATCCTATATGTACCGGAAGCGTAGAAGAATGAAGGATAAATGAAAGCTCAACGGCAGCTGGTTCCCGTAATTACGATTCGTATAGAGGGTTTCATATAAGGGTAAAAGACGATCGCAATCTTTGACCATGTGTTACCATGCTCGCGTTTCTTGTTCGCGCGAAGGATAACTTTTCTCCTGGTATTTGCGAGGATATCCGGTCGTAAAAATCGATATGAACTGGCCGATGATAAGAGAATCACGGTGACCTACAAAACCTTAATCGGTGGTGAGACATTTTCAGGAAATTTCTGGCTTCAGCCGGAACATAGGAGGATTACAAATGGTGGGAATCCCGGTAATAGAATAACAGTGGTTTCCTTAATCCAAGAAAATTTCAATCTTTCCATCTACTTTACGGACGATACCGATTTTTTCCTTTTTTTAATCGACCATGTTCAAACAATTTCCTGATCTCCTCGTCGTCCTTAACTATCACTGCACATTCGTCATTATTGTCAAAGAAAAGGAAAGTTGGGAGAACTATGGTCGTAATAAAAGTGCGGATACTTTCGCGGAATTACATTAGTATTCCTGTGAATAAGCCTCTCTCTGATGCAGCTATCTCTTCTGAAACATTAAATAAACGCGCTACACAGCAGCACTTTGTGTAATTAAACGATGCCCCATTTTGTTCGATGATCTTAAATTATTTCATAGTACTTGATACATCTATGTAAAGTTTAAAATAAGAAGAGGAAGATTAAAGTAGGAAGAAAAGGTTTCTCGTGGGTCGATCGAGTGGCCATCGACGATAACGAGCCGTTCAAATCGCGATAACGAAAGGAAGGATATGTGGACTGAAAGATTCGTTTCCTGTGTCGTAAAGTCCACGTGGCGAGCGCTGTTTTCTTTCACGTTCGAATTCCCCCCAATGAGAAACGAGAAACCAGCCCGGTACATTAGTGTGCAAAGATAGCCAGTGATGAGAGTCACGGAATCAGATTTTAATTAAAGTTCCAAGACGATAGGATGGTGTCGTGATAAAGTAGCTCTACCGTCATCCTTCTCTTTCCATTTCAATATATTTCCCCTGGTATATTATATCAAAGCGAAGATAGATTTTGGAAAGTAACCTTTTGAAGCAAGAAAGCATCTTTGCACTCGGGTGTACAATCTGAAGCGTGGTGCGCTTGTCGTAAAGGGTAAATTGGCCATGGAACCACTTCTGGGGAAAAGCTTTACGCGTCGCTTACACTTTTTCCTCTCGTAGATCAGCTCTGGCGAGTTGCCGAACGGGAAACACGGGTCCTGCTCGTTGAATTTATGGTTTCTTAAGAAGAGAGAGGCTCTACGATCGTGGAAAAATCGAAGAAACGCGATCAGCCCTTTCGAAGAAAAATGAAAGTGGACATCTTCGTCGGAAGGTGACAGAATGTAACGAAACAAAAATGAAACAGGGAGAAGTTAGGAAGAGGAAGTTCGAAACTCAAAGATCGAGAAGAAATGATACGAAAACATTTAGAGTGGGATGAATAGTAAGGAGGAGGAGAACTTGTTGGCTTCTCGAGGGTAAAATATCAGAGGGAGTCGAAACGCGATTCCAATTTAACAAGATACTATTTATTCTGCTTGAACTTATAAAAAGAACTCCAACGGACATTTTCTAACTCGTTATTCACGGTGACTGTGCTTTCCATATCCGTTCGTCGAAGCTTCGTTTCGAATTCTATCGCAGAGAACGACGCAAAAATTTTCCCAAGACTCTTCGGCCCTACTCTAATCCCTTAATTTATGAATTCGGATTATTTATTTCGTTCCCACCAATAACGCGCTCGTTCCAGCGAAAATCTAAGATTACGATTTCGAGGGGTGACGAACAGCCCAAGAAAATATACAGGGTGTAGTGTAATTGCTAGAAATATGGTGATTCTAATTGTAAAACTGTAAATTTTTAATTAGCATTTGATCGCTTTTGGATTTTAATGCGCGCGGCCCGTTTATCGTTGACTCGTACTACTGAAATCGTAATGTTAACCCTAATATGGGAGTTAGAAAACTGTCGATGTAAAAGGAAATGTGTGCCACGAGTTCGAAAGCTGAATAAGCAAGCTTGTACCTTGTTTATCAAGTCTCGAAAGCAAGATAAATGTCTAGTATCGTATAATTTCGGTAGGGAAGAACACCCTAGGTGAAGTTTCAAGCGTTCGCAGAACGTACTACAGCACAATACCACTGATGGATGGCTCGGTAAATCCTGGTCTGATCTATGGGGTAATTCTACTGGGTCCTTTGACACAGTGACGTGTAGCTTGTTGAATTTTCTAAAAATTACTTCCTTCTTCGACTCGATGAATTTACAATGCTGGTGTTAGAGAGTTTCTCCATCGCAACTTTAATTTATTAATGAAATTGTTTAAAATGAGATTCTTGGTAGACCTATAGAATTACCTAAAATAACGTTATACTAGGAACTGAAAGAAATTCAATATCGAGGAGTTGTTTTTCGCGCGAGGATCGAATCCCTGTCGTGAGTTCCGTGGGAAAACAAAGAAAAAGAGCGCATCAGGATATTCTGTTTCGCTACGTGGGAGAGACACCATGTGACAGTAATCTATCTTCCTCTTTTTTCGATATAAAATACAAGGAAATTTCAAGAATATATCGCCATTCCTGAAATTAAGAATCAAAAACGCTTTCCATCTCACGCTATTCTTTCATCAATAGAAAACTCTTTTTGAGATCAAGAAATCACAGAACCATCATCGATCGCAAAAAATAATTGCTTTAAGCTTCTTCGAGTCATCATAAACTTGAAGGGGAAAAATATTCGGTTGAAGGGTTAAAAATCGCTTTCATGTTAACCATGAACCACCGCATCAATATTCATCGTCGAACTCGTACCAGTTCCACGGCAATTTACTTTACTGATTGCAGTCCCATAATCTGGGTCTCACAGTACCAGAAGATGCGTCTAAAGGAGAGCAAGGACGATCAGGATCAAAGGAACTTTATTCCGGTTTGTCTGACCAGCGTCGACACCACCGTAACGACCGTCTTCTTTTTATTTCTCGTCCTTTTCTTCTATCTGCTACCACTGCTGATTCTGATGATCCTGTACGCGTTGATCATCCGAAACTTGGTACCGGATTCCAGCAACACCAGCGACACGTACCACGCCAGGGCTAAGAGACACGTGATCACGATGCTGATGTCAGTGGTGTTAAGCTTCTTCCTGTGTCTGACGCCTTACAGGATCCTTATTTTCTATATCATCGTCGCGCCGGCTGAACAGATTGCCGCCATCGACCGCGACACCTTCTTCGCCTTCCTCAATTTCAGCAGGATTATGTTCTACCTCCATAGCGCCGTTGATCCGATACTCTATAATCTGATGAGCAGCAAATTCAGAAGAGGCTTCCTCCAGCTGTGCAGATGTAGGAAGAGCAACAGACTGAAGAGTAGTTTCACAGGGACCAGGAAAACAGACTCCACCGAGCAGGAGAACTTTGTGTGACTTCGAAAGTGTTACGTGTATACCGATTGTAAAATATACCGTGTATTGTAAATAGACAATGATTTGTCAATAAATTGAACGAATCGTCGGTAAATTATTATTTACATGTATTTAGGACTTTGCGTGGATTCCTTGAAATCATTGAAATGATCCAGGAACCTCTGTTCACAGCCCCATCCTGCTGATGGTCAGCTACGAGGTGGAGAAGAACACGGACGGTACGTACATTTCCACCTGCAACATCGTAGCGAACTCGGACTGGGCGAGCGGTTTCATCGTGACGACGATACTCGTGTTCTTCGTGATACCCCTGCTGATCCTGGTGATACTGTACACGGTGATCGCGAGACACCTGATGACGAATCCAACGATAAGCCGCGGTTCGTCGAACAATTTGCTCAAATATCGCAAACAGGTGATGCTGATGTTAGGTACGGTGGTGCTCTGTTTCTTTTTGTGTTTGCTACCGTTCAGAGCATTCACCCTTTGGATCCTGGTCGTGCCGCCCAAGATGATCACCGATCTGGGTATCGAGGGTTACTTCACCCTTCTGTACTTTTGTCGAGTGATGCTCTACCTGAATTCCGCCATCAATCCGATCCTTTACAACCTGATGTCCACGAAATTTCGCGAAGGTTTCCTTAGGCTGTGCGGTCTAGCTCCGACCAGGAGGAAAAAGAAGAAAACCTCTGGCGACAAGACTGGCACCTATACCACTGGTTCCACTAACTGCAGCAGCAATCATTCGGATTTCTGGAGGAGACACAGCAGCAACAAAAGCAGCAGCGTTAAGGTACCGAGCAGCAATTCGAGCGGGGAGAAACAGATCAAACTTCCGCTTCAGACGGCGGTCGTTAGCGGTAACATTGTCAGAAAGAAACAGGAGAGTTATGTTTGAAGAGACAGAGGGGTGGTTATTTGAGACTGTGATCGTTCGCACCATTCCGTAATATTAATAGTAACCTAGATGTCGTTCGTACTCGTATGTAGATTGAGTTTCATATTTCACCGGTGTAAATTGATATCCGAGGTTTGTATTGTCTTGATGAAATCCAAAAATAGATTATATTTTTAACTCTTCAGACGATGAAGGGTTATTTTGTAATTAACAATGAAAGCGAAGCGAGTACTAATTTGCATAGGACTATGAACGATACGCTAATTACGTAGAATTTTGGAATCTGTGATTACTAATTAAGCGAACGTATACCGTGTAAGTATTATAACGAAGGAACTATGAATAAGTATGCCTCTAGCTTTACGGGATTTGTAATTAAATTGTACCATAACTTGCTGTGCAATTTCTCGTGCAGATAGAATTGTGTAATTTTTTAAGAACCAGAAGGGATCTCAATTTATAGCTTTACTTTAATTAGAATTCTTTTTTTTTACAATTGTTAAAGAGTAAGAGTGTATAAACGAGTATGTTGAGTTCCTATTATTTTTAACAAGTATAGTTTACTCGGGTGCTGTGTTTTATCGTCTGATATTAATCAAGGTTTCCTCTGTATTCTAGAGATCAGAGGTTTATAGTCATTCTGAGAATGTCAACGATATAGAATAAGAGAAGACAGCAAGAGGAGAGACTTCAATTCCTGAAAATGTAATGTATACAATTTGTTTCACTAGTACAATAACACGTAGGATTTTTTAATACAGCTTTTGCATAAACGTAACACGATTTTTCTATTTATTAAAGTCACAGTATCTGCTAAGAGTTTCGTGTTGAACGCTCTCCTCGCTTTAGAATAATGCAGGACATTTATTACAATAACTAAATGTATTTTTTCAATGAATAGATATAACGTTTTTCATGCACTGAAGAAACATTGAACGAGTGGTGAGACTAGTCTACAAGCTTTAAATTATTTATTTCATCAACGATTAATGTAAATTAATATTTTTCTTATCGCGATGGTGGAAAGTTACTAAAAACTTTATTGCTCATAACGTGGCAATAAATAGTAAGTTAATTTAATTAATATGTATGTATATTAAATCATTCCAGTGATACAGGAAGTGTAGATCATTATCTTTTGATTCGTTACGTGTACAAAAACTTAGTAATTATTTCACAGATCATTGGATACAGAATGAACACAAAATCAGATCAATATGAAACTCTTAAAAAAGAGAATTAATAACATTTAGTATGAATTATTTCGTTGCCATACGAATTTTCATTTGTTCCTAACTAAGTTTATTTTCAGTCGTTTATAAATCAATACTGGTGCTGATTTTTACAAAATGTCTACGAAAAAAGATATTTTATTTTATTATGACGAGATGTATGTTCCTGTAAATATTTTGTAAAATAAAAACAAAATAATATTAACAAGAACGAAATTCTAACACTGTACTACAGACAAGGAACAAAATGACTAGTAACAAAGGAAACAACTTACAGACGAAAGAAATTATCTAAAAATTAGAAGAAAAATACCCTGATGAATGTTACACGCGTCTATCGCGTTACAAGCCAAGGAACAAGATTAACGAATTCTATGCTTCTATTAGTATTAATAATAAATGCAACTAATTACCATGTCGAATTAAACGTGTCATAGTTGTATTTCGTGAATATTATATCGTTAGCCAGACGATCGGATCTAACGAGGAAGGAATGAACGTAATAACCCTTCGATTCCATGAAATCGATCAGCTTCTTTTTACCAGATGCAACGTGAGCGTACTCCACCGATAGCGTCTGAAAATGTTCATTCAATTTAAGTAATTGATCGATCTTGATCATTGATCTAAGTCGATTGGAATTAATTTACCTCGATGTTTATCTCATCGAACGGAATCGTTTTCAGTACCTCAAGCTCGTGGCCCTCGATATCAAGACTAAAATAATTAACAGTGGTCACGTTAAGAGCTCCCATCAAATGAGCGAATGGAAAACATTGGACTTTGATGTGAACACCACTGTACGCAACATCCTTTGAATTTGGCATTGTGTTGTCTGCATTTGGGTCGTGAAGACGTCCTACATTGTCAGCCATCAGGAAAGTATTCTAAAGATCATTCAAAAGGTAAATTATGTATCAACGTATACATATAAATTATATATGATTTTAAATCTGATTTCACTCGTTCGGAATAATTTGTTCAGTGACAAAGTACGAACTTTCGTACCACCGTGGGATATGGCTGAAGACCAAGGCAAATAGGCGATAGGTAAGACTTCCGGTTCTTCAGTATCATCTTACTGAAGTTGATGGAATCAGCTTCTACCAGGAGACCTGTCCAATCGAGAAATCGTTCCAGGACCAACGTGTTACTTCGTGTTTCTCCATCATAAGCACCACATTCCACGAAGAATCCATTCTTCTATAGATATAATTTATTATACTAAATCTTTTGTCATGATTACTGACTTGTGTTAAAAGATGTGCATCCTGCCCCTGCGGTACTGTTACTTTCTCAGCGTAGGTACCTCACTTACCGACAAGGAAAATGATTCAGTTACCTTATCTTGGAAAATTTTACGAATAACACTGGCTTGACCCATGGATGGATCCTCGATCTCTGGATGCTCCAAATTATAAGGTTTATTTGAATTATGTTTCCACAATATCCAATTCTGTCGGATTTCGGTCATATAACGCTTCCAACTTTTTGAGTCCGATTTCGAGAATATTCTACTATTGTACCATTTATCATCTACAAAAATATGTTAAATATCACATATCGTTAAGTTCTATAAAGAACAAACACTGACACAAATTGGAATGATATAAACTGAGTGAGTCAGTATGAGTTGTAAGTTAATGGAGTATTAGCGTTCAATATCACAAACAGTAAAAACAATCAACCTTCACGGCTGTTACAAAAATTGATTACAGGTAAAATTGAAAAGATATTGAACGTAAATGAGAAAAAAGTTGCAAAAATGATTTTCGAAACTCACCGTCGGTAAGGTTATACCATCTGTTGGTAACTGCAAGATCATATTACAAATAGAATGCAATAAAATAGTAAGTTTTTTCTTAAACAAAATCCACGTATCAGCAAGAACATTATCATCGGGATTAGATAAGGAAAGTGCAGCTTGATGTAAAATCTACATTTAAACGCATCGATTTGACTGAAGAAATTCGAACTTTCAAACTTTTTATTTCATTTCAAATTTAGATCAAATTCAATTCAATTTCAAATAAATTTCCCGCCAAATATTTCGATCTTCCGCAATAACAATATCTTTGCCGATACACAATAGATAAAAACTTACCCTCCTTGTAAACATTTCTTAATTCACCGTCCATATTAATATTCGGTTCTATCGAATTTTGTGAGATATCTGGATTGTACGTTGATTCTCGTAACAATAATAACATAATTGACCCTCCAAGTACAAAACCCATGATGAAGTACCATTTTCGTCTCCAACAACATCCGAGATGGTACGTTTGAATACATTCGTAACATGAGTGGAAGTTACACATATTTGTTTTTTAAATAAACTACAAAACAGCAACAGGTTGACCCTACTTTACATGTGCTAGAGACATGAACGAATAGAATGATGTTGCGATCTAGAATAGACTTCGGGAACAGACTGATCTTATCGTAACACGACTCTAGTTCCTTGCTTTATCGAAGAAATCTGTTCCTGATTACATATCGTCTATTGACTAATTTTCCTATCTTTATAGCTGAGTAGCGATATTGAGTATCAATCGTTCGTTATTTTGAAAATGTCCATTCCATAGAAATAGGTAGATAAAGATTATAATGATATGGTAACAACCGCGGATTAATACGTTGATTGTCACAGTGAAAATAGGCATGTGTTGTCAGACATATTGAAACATTACGACTGGTAAATTTTCAATTATTTTCAATTATTTTCAATTATTGAAATTATAAGTGTCCACAGCAGTCAATGTGTTAAAGGTGTTTCCTTCACTACACACTTCCATTTCACACACGTATACCATTTGACACGTGTAAACATCATTAACTGGATAAGAACAAGGACGAATGAACTCTAAATGACACGATTTCAATTCAGTGAGGCGTAGACTCTGCGGTAATTTTACACCGAACATGCCACTAAGGCCTATTTCATCACGTGTGTGGTCAAAGTATAATACAACACGAGAGGACACGTTTAAATTTAGTTCTAACGGTACTAGGCATATATGTACATATAGCCATATGCATACGAAATGTTGAAAGTTAAGCCGCCTATTTTAAGAATGTGTATGTTCGTTTTAATTTCGGTTGAAACCAGTAATCGGAGGAGAAGCAGCAATTGAGAGACCGAAAAGAATTGTACGAAAGAGAACGGAGAGCAATCGTTCGTTACATAAAACTTTAGTAATGAATATTAGACTGTTATAGCTGATGCATGCGCTCGTTAAAGCAGCTCTGTTTAGCGGTACACATACGTATACGTTTATACAAAGTGTAAAAGTATGTGTAACCAATATAATCTGTGTAGGTCGCTATAAATTATGCATCAATATATACAATACCTTCAAAGAGATTTAATAAAACCTACTATGTAAATGAGTTAGAGAAAATGGTTCTTCTATCAACGAAAATACTTTATTAAATTGTACAATTTAGAAAGTAAGGTAGTATGTTCTTACGTACCACGGATTATTACATTAATAAAACTCTTGAACACTTGATTAACAATTTGTACTCGATAAATTAGATATCTTATTTGCTTCCTCATGGGCTTCTCGCCCCTGCCCCTATACTTCCTTGCCAATAACAGGTACTGGTTTTTCTACAGTGGCACCTCTGGTGTCGATCAAGAGAACTATAAATTCTTGGTTATGACTGTACCGACCCCTGCTGACGCGACGTTCGGTCGTCGGTGCTGAGCGGATTGCAGGTTTCTGGCGCTTTTTACTCGAATTTTTAAACGTTAATAACTGGAAAACAAAGCCGTAAAGGCTATTTCATTATTCTTAATTTTCGTCTTATTTTGATCCCTAGAATCACCTCTTAAAATATTGCCCACCTGTTGTCGAACACCCTGTATATTTTTCAGGAACTATGTCTTTCAGATTCTGAAGTGTATCACATTGCAACTACAGTTTTACGGAACGAAAATTAATAATAATGAATGCATGGTCAGTATTGTTTAATTATGTACTTATACATATAGCTATCGTAGCATACACGTGTCATTTAGGTGTATGCGAAAGGTGACGTAGTATAGCATGCCGTTAGTTGATAGGGTTGATAGCATGCGATAATTAAGATGGCGCTTAAATCAGTTTCTGTTCGGCCTAATTTTCGATGAAACGTTGACTGTTTTACCGACGCGGAATTCGAAGTTCGGCCTCGACGCTCGCATCACCTTAAGAGTTCAAAGAAAATTTATGTTTGTGATTGTTTATTCATTTTGTTCAGGAATTTAATGTTTTCTTTTTTTAAATGTCATCGTAGTAAACTAAAGCCCAGTTTATAGTGAGTAATTTAATGGGATCGTAAACGTTCGTATGATCATCATTTTAAGTATATCCATCGTTTTCAGAAACTATTGAATAAATATGTTAATACAATTAAATACTGAAACAATCTTTTATCAAATATAATAACCAGATACAAAATATATACTTGTGATAAGAAATATTATCAGGTAAGTGTTATTGGTATATTTAAATATATAGTAACAATATTTCAGCTTAAGGTTATGTTGTTACTTGTTGAATTTTGACAACAATACAACAAATTTTGTAATTTATTAGGAAAAAGGTATGTTATTTAAATACAGAAAATAGTTAAAGTAGAATTTTGTAACGTATGCTATGGTTTGTTATAATATTATAGATTACATTTATAAATTTTAAGAAATATCAAATGCTCTAATATGATCTAAACATTGTTTTCAATATAAAATAAACATTTTCTAAGTTCGTTTATCAGTATTTAGTTTATCATCTGTAATTTTTCATAAATGAAATAATACATTTCAGTGTGATCTAGTATTTTAATATAATTATATTTCTTTCTACTTTTAATTTAAGATTATGTTTGGAGTATGCTAAAAGTGTATCCTTGTTAAAAAATATGTCGAAAATTATGTAGGATCATTGATCGTAGGGGCATATGGTTGGCAGAAATTTTATCACTATTTCTGGGTTTCAGCCAAAAACACAGAGCTTATTCAGCAGTCAGAATTAGACTGTTTTGTGAACAAAATTTTCTTTGTCTTTTTATGTCAGTGTCAGTTTAAGAAAAGAAAACCTTGTTCAGTTTGTTGCATTTTTTGATACAAAATGCAAGGAGAGGAAAAAACAGTGAATGAACAAGTGTTTCCGATAGCTAATCATTTAATTTGTTATATGTACATACAAATATTTATAAATATTAAATAAAGTTTAAACAATCCTTATAAATTAAATGATGACAATGCAAAAATATATGTCTTTGCTTCCCTAATATATTAAATTTAATAAATAAAATGATTTTTTTATAAAATCAAAATATTGACTACTATTGTATTAAAATGTAATATGTGTTATTTTATGTGTTGTAGGTGCAAAAAGAAAATGAAAATGAAACGCAGTAGGTCTTTGTCTCCTAAAGCTTCGTGCAGTGAGGATGACATGAAGCGCATGAAACTTGGAGAGAATGAGAAAAATGACATAATAATAATGCATCCCCATATATTAGATTTTTCTGATGATGTATTACTAAACATTTTCAAGTATCTGAATCCTCAAGATCTCATGGCAATAAGCTTGTATGTTTTGAATAATTGTTAGCATGTAAACTTACTAGTATTATAAGATGTTCTAATATTTATACATGGTATATATTACACTATTTTGTATCATCAGATCGTGTCAGCGGTTAGCTCAAGTTGCCCAAGACAAAACTTTATGGAGAAGAGTAGATTTTCGGGTGAAACCGATATTACTAAATGATTTAAAAGAATATATAAAATTTTTTCAACCAATGACAGTAAGTCTTGCTGTTCGTGGTAGTTTGCACTGTGAAAAAGAAGCAGAGCTTAGTCCCTACTTTTTTAATTCTATCAAAAATTCATGTACTCAACTAAGGGAATTAACTATCGAAGAATATTATATCAATGGAGATAAGGTAAATGCATTTACTAAATCATTTGAAACAACATAATTAAGTTTTGGAATAGCTAATAAATTTAATGTCTGTACAGATTCAGATAACAGATTTTCCACGTACCATTGAAAAACTTTCATTAGAGGGTTGCAAAATGGGATATTTACGTGGTAATAAGTCGTATTTTTTTAAAATGAATTTCCATATGCCTAACTTAACAGTAAGCATTTTTCTTACTATTGTATGTATATTAAACTGATTACTGTAGTATCTGATTTATATTATATGTTAATATTGACATCTTTCTGTACTATTTTATTGTTTCTAATATTTCATTTTTAATATATTTCAGTGTTTGATCTTAAGCAATTGTCAGTGGTTCACTCCACATTCATTACTAGTTATTAGTAAAATGCCAAAGTTGAAAGAATTAAGGCTAAATTCGTGTCACCGATTAGGAGAATGCGTTGCTTACACCAGTTTGGCTACAAGATTCGGATTTAAAACTTTAGAGGTAAACAATTCTTTATACTCTATTATTTGTAGTAAATTATATTATTTTTTTTCAATAATTGTATAACTACATATTTCAGATTCTTGACTTGCGAGATACTGCACTTGGTGACAGTGAAGTCGGATGTTTCAGTTGTACTAAAACTTTGACTCATCTTTACCTTGAATGCCCTTTTAATTTACGAAATACAGAATCGTCAGATCAAGAGTCAAGGCCTCTGCCACCAGAAGGTTTAAATCAACCTGTATATGAAGATGATAATCTTGTACAGGTGAGTTTACCGATATAATATAAAGAAAATAATAACAAAGCTATTTCTCTGCTATTTTCTTCTATTATTTAGTTTGTGGTTGAAGACGGATTTCGTTGGGAAAATTACACATTTGGACGTTGCTTAATCACAGATAGAGCAATTTGTGCTCTTGGAATTGACACGTGTGATCGCAAAATAATAAATAACTCGGCAGAAGGAGTTATAGTTGTAGAAGATGACAAACGAATATTTAACAATCCACACTTAAAAACATTAGTTGTCAGGTATTACTGCATTCATAAACACCTAAAATTAATATTTAAACATAACTATCTCTTTTGTCTTTCAGAAATTATCCATACGTTACAAACTCAAGTCTCGTACATCTGGCTTTGAATGCGTCAAGTCTCGAATATTTAGATGTAAGTGGTACTTCAGTTACGAGGCAAGGAGTTGAAACTTTTAAGTCTCGAAGATCAAACGTTAAAATAATCACTTCATTCGATGAAACATAGTTGATGCAAACTATAATGGAAATGTGAATTTAGTGCGATTAACACAAGTTTAAATATATGATTGATACGTATTTAAACATAGAGGAACACAAGCATTTGAAAAGTACAGAGTCATTTTAAAAGCTTCAATGCCAGGATACTCTTACAGTTAAATAGATCTATTTTCCGCAGAAACATAACTATAAGAGTTAGAAGTAAACAGTTTTTTACTTTAATTAGGTAATATGTATAAATCATCTTAATTTGCATCTTAATTTTACAATCTCCATGTGTGTTCAATGTATTTATTCGTATGTGTTACAGTTCCATTATATTGTATATAAGTATATGTGTGCAATTTAATAACATATTCAATTTTATGATGGTAATTCTTAGAGTAACAAAATATAATACATTATTTTCTATTCATAATAATGTAATGTTATTATCGAAATAGAAAACATTAGTATGTATGAAGCATTTCAAATACATCACTTGGAGAAGGGTTAGTGATACACACTATAATTGTAAAAAGGCGTACAGTGGATAAAAGTTATTTATTAAAAAAAAATAAAAAATTGAAAGATATTGACACGTGACTATAATATTTGAAAAAGTTATTAGTCTAATAGTTTCAGTGTATGTGTGTAAATTAACTGCTTGAGAAACATGTAAGCAATGTTTTTTATATTGGTCATTACTATACATATATATATACATTTATAAACGTTCATATACAAAAACATTACTTGCCATTATTTTTTTCACAGAAATTAATTTATACAAGCATTAGATCATAAAATATTAAATTACTAATTTTTATACAGTAAAAAATCATTCCGTTTCTTTTTCATATTGTTAATTTCATCACTTATAATAAAACTTTTGTTTCATTAAACTTATAAAAAAATGTATTTTTATTTTAATACAGTAGTACATAGCAAATTGAAAAAAGAAAATCTTCAATGCATCTTCAATTGTTACACATATGTATGTACATAAAAATATAATTTGTATATGTTAAGTATAAGCAAAAAATGATGGCTATATCGAAATATTTGTGTTGTTCAGAAAGCAATATAATGCTTAAATGCATTAAGAGAGTTTGTGTTACATTTATTATTTTAAATTATTTACAGGATACATTATAAAATAATGTTATGTTGAATTCATTTTCAAGGGATATATTTCTATGTCAAATGGTTGTTATAAACAATTTGAAGCTTACAAAGGAATTTCTAGAAACATGGCTAAACTTTCGAATAAGAGTTCGAATTCGGAGCAAATAGAATCTTGCATTGTAAGCAGCGGTATGCGTCTTGTGTGTGAATGCAGAAATTCTTTCACCACCACCTTAGGATGTTTTCTTCCAGCCGGTGCAATGTATGAAATGCCCAAAGAACGTGGCAGCGCTATATTTTTAGAACATTTACTTTTCAGGGTAAAGTAACATAATTAAATACAAGTACATAGGAAGATAATCATTGTACCATAATAAAATTAATAATAACACTTTTATTTAATGTAGAGAACACAACATAACAATCAAGAACAACTAGAAAAGTTATTAGGAGAGATTGGTGGAAAAGTTGCTGCTATTGCTATGCGGGATATGTTTCTTTTTTATGGAACAGTACTTCCACACGAAGTAGATAAGCTTATTCAATTATTTGCAGATGTAATATTGAATGGTATTATATGTAAGTAGAAGATGAAGAATCCTGTAAAATTTTAATACCCTTATGTGGAAGTTACATACATTTTATTTGATATTCTAGGTGATGAAGATGTTGAAAGGGAAAAGTGTGTAATTCTATATGAACTTTCTAAAATGGCGTTAGACAAGGAAAAAGTTGTAATGGATTATTTACCTACTGTCGCGTATCAGGATACTGCCCTTGCCAATGGTGTATATCCTGAAACTGATACAATAAAGTAGGTAAAATAATTTCAAAATATGTATAAATATTCTATATATTTATTTATTTATTGAAACGTTAAATTTTTAGAAAATTTTGTACAGAGAATCTTATTGAATTTCGAGATCGTTTGTTTAAAACATATTTTATGACAATGGTTTGTACTGGATCCATTGGTTTAGAAAAGTTTAAAAGGCTTGTTTGCAAACATTTCACTATTGAAGAAGATGATAATGAATTACCAATAGATCTTGCTAATAACGTGCAGTCTTGTATAGAATCATTTCAGTGTCGATTTTCAGGTGAACGAAAATTAGAAACTATTATAATAATACAGCTTCTGTACAAATAATTATATAAAATATAGGTTGTGACTTGCGGCTAAGAGATGATGACGAGGAATTAGGATATGTTGCTATAGGATTTGAAGGACCAAGTTATAAAGAACCTGAAGATCACCTTATTCTTACTGTGGCTAAAGAAATTGTAGGTTCCTGGGATAAAAGCTGTAGTAAGTTAACAATCTGTATATATCATACATGAATTTAATAGCGTTATTGAATATATTAATATTTCCTTTAAGGTGGAGCAAGTCATAATGCACCATATATTGCACACTGTGCATTTAATACAGAGTTTTGTTACATGTACAAATCTTTTTTTCACAACTGGGCACAGTGTACTAGTATGTGGGGCTGTTATTTTGTGTCTAATAAATTAGACCAAGAGGTATGTTTATAATATCAATTGTTGTGTCTAATAATTTTCATTTTTGATACATTTATCTAGAACATGGTGGATTTATTGCAAAGAGAATGGATGAAATTATGTACAACAATTACACAAAAGGAAGTACTTCGTGCTGTTAATCAATGTAAATTGAAAGATCTGATTGTTCTGAGTGATCCAACGAGTCGTTTTTTCGATATCGTTCAATATATTTTTAGATATGGATATTATGAACCGATACAAAACAGAATTTTAGAATATGAGGTAAAATTTTGTGAAAGAAATTGATTTTTTGTATAGAACAAAAGTCAACATTTTTATATTACAGAAAATAACAACAGATAAACTGAAGGAAACCTGTGAAAAATATATCTATGATCAAAATCCGACTGTTGTAGCAATTGGTCGTATTGAAAATTTACCACACTACTATGTAATAAGAAATGGAATGTATTTATTGCGATATTGAAATTTGTTTACAAAAAGTTCGAATCAGAAATTATAATATTAGTGATACTCGGAATTCATGATTATAATTTTTGTTTTAGCATGGCTTTTGTTTCTTTCCATAAAGAAAGCAATGCCTTATCTTATATATATATATACATATACATATATATATATATATCCGTCCGTCCGTGTCACTTTTCAACTTGAGAAATACTCTAAGTGGTCGCAGTTAAAAGTTACAGAGATTTCAATTTTTCTATAAAAATTCTGTAGGTCGCACATTTTAGCTTCGGGGTCCCTAATACCCCAGATGCCATGCGGTCGGTATACAGTGTTACCGACGCTTCGGGGTCCCTGACACCCCGGATGCCAAAATGTCGATATACAAAAAGTGTCACCAGTGCTTCGGGGTTCCTGAAACCCCAAGATGACATCATGTCAGTATGCAGAGATAGTCATTGGTGCGTCGGGGTCCCTGGCACCCCGATGCTATTTAATTGTTATACAAAGATAGTCGCCGGCGTTTCGGGGTCCTTAATACCCCATTATGATATCAGGTCGGTATGCAAAGGGACTCATTGGCGCAGCGGGGTCCTTAGCACCCCTGGATAATATCAGGACCGTATGAAGAGGGCACAACCAGTTTAATTTTTTTCCAGAGTTTATTTAATTTACTTCATTTATTTGTTTTTGCTTACTAAATAAGCTCATAGATTGGGAATAACATTTATAATTATATCCGTCTTCTGGGTCTCAGCCGAGAACCTTATTTATTTTACTTTTTCTAGTTATTTATATAATTTTATCCCTCATTATAGGTCAAGGCCATCTCAGTATCCCTTATGTACCTGCATTCCTTCCACCCCAGCATTCCTTACGTTCCTGCACCCCTTAATTACCATCTTTTTTTTTTTTTTTTTGTTAACGTGGTGGAAATCTTCAGAAAGACACCTTCAACCCCCCTGGGGAGGGGCCGGAGGTAGTGTAGGATTTTTACCCACTAAAACCACCACGGTGGCCTGCACTAGGGCGGAAGGGAGGGTCCTTTGCCTCTCCGCCATGTGCCAAACTCCGCCGACATCGGGGGCCACACCCGATGCCGGCACTCCACGGGCCGCGTGCAGTGGAGGCCGGGGCCCCAGCCCCGGACACCTACGGGGTTCCTTTACATCTCTGCATCCCTTACATGCCTGCATTCTTTTCATCCCTACATTCTTTTCATCCCTACATTCCTTTCATCCCTACATTCCTCTCATCCCTACATTCCTTACATCTTTGCATTTCTCATAATAAATATATTGTAAAGACTGCTTCGAGTAAAGGTAAGTAAAGGTAAGTAAAGGTAAGTAAAAGAAATTCGCGAAAATTTCGAAAAACAGCGCCCCCTGGCGGCAAAAATGCGAACTAAAATTTCGATGTTGAATCAGCGCCATCTGGTTTCGGAAAAAGGAACCAAACCTTGCACCATTTCTGGCCCTCTGGCGGCAAAAATGTGAACTAAAATTTCGATGTCGAATCAGCGCCATCTGGTTTCGGAAAAAGGAACTAAATCGTGCCAAAATTTTGGCCCTCTAGCGGCAAAAATGTGAACTAAATTCTCGATGTCGAATCAGCGCCGTCTGGTTTCGGAAAAGGGAACTAAATCATGCCAAAATTTTGGCCCTCTAGCGGCAAAAATGTGAACTAAATTCTCGACGTCGAATCAGCGCCATCTGGTTTCGGAAAAAGGAACTAAATCATGCCAAAATTTTGGCCCTCTAGCGGCAAAAATGTGAACTAAATTCTCGACGTCGAATCAGCGCCATCTGGTTTCGGAAAAAGGAACTAAACCTTGCACCATTTCTGGCCCTCTGGCGGCAAAAATGTGAAGTAAAATTTCGATGTCGAATCAGCGCCCTCTGGTGGCGAAAAAAGGAACTAACTTACCTTTACTCGAAGCAGTCTTTATAATATATTTATTATAAGGGATGCAGTGATGTAAGGAATGTAGGGATGAAAAGAATGTAGGGATGAAAGGAATGTAGGCATGAAAGGAGTGTAGGGATGAAAAGAATGTAGGGATGTAAGGGATGAAGCGATGTAAGGAATGTAGGGATGAAAACAATGTAGGGATTTAAGGAATGAAGAGATGGAGAGAATGTAGGGATGAAAGGAGTGTAGGGATGAAAAGAATGTAGGGATGAAAAGAATGTTGGGATGTAAGGGATGAAGCGATGTAAGTAATGTAGGGATGAAAACAATGTAGGGATTTAAGGGACAAAGAGATGTAAGGAATGTCGGGATGAGAGGAATGTAGGGAAGTAAGGGGTACTGAGATGGCCTTGGCCTATAATGAATGGATAAAATGTTTCGGTTCACATCATGATTGAAATAAAATTGCTAATTACAAAAGAACTAATTTGTCACAAACGTTAAAAATAGATTCACACTCAATCACAAACGATTTACAAACGAAATACACTAAGAAAAATTAAAAATAATCATATTTTGTTATTCCCCCCCGGCTAGCTTCATGTAGGTTCTGTTGTCATTGTATGGTGTGTCAACCTCACCTTGGGGTTCCTGGAACCCCTAAGGTCGTATAATCCCTCGAAAATAAAAGCACGTCCAGTTTTCTTGTGTCTGTAGTCAGTGGTGGTTATAAGCATCCAAATTTCATGTATTTTCCGTATTAACATCAATTAACATTATCCCGAAAGGTTGTTCGGTCTTTGTCTTAGAAATTGTTATGAACAGGTGGGTGGTAATATATGAATATGTTTTATAAAAGAATAAAAAATTTGTTTTATACTGGTCTTGTATTTTTAGTATTTAGTTCCTGAAAACTGTTTTAAAACTACAATAGACACGTGCATCTTTTCTGGCTTCGAGACTTTGTAATCCAAAAGTATCTTTAATAACTTAATACAATCGATATTCAATAATTATAGAATTGAGTATTTTTTCTTATTTATAAAGATTTGCAATACATATAATTTTTAGGGATGTGTAATTTGTTCGTATTAAAATAACTTATAGTTTCCCTTGGTTTTTTAGAATTTTAATATTAATTAATAACACGTTTGTTTTATAGGAGGAGCGTGTTTGTACAAAAAGAATATTAGACAAGAGGTGGTATGTATTTCATTTTGCTCTTACATTGTTTATAATTATAAATTGTAACCTTAAGAAACGTGATGAAATCGTTAAACCGTTTACCTACATGATACAGTGATTGTCTAATTCATGCACTACCAACTGAGTTATTTGATTTAACTTAAGAATGGACAGAATTATTAAACAATATTAAATTTAAGTTTATTCTTTCGTTGCAGCTTTTTGGATTGCAGTCTGTCTTTTAAAAATTGCAAGAAGATATAATAAAACTGTATGACTGGTTAGTATCGTTTTATTTTCTTTCTTTCTTTCTTTTGTTAATAATATATAAACATAAAATGATGATATTTTATACCAATAATCATGAATTTAATGATTAATTTTAACATGCACTACCAACTGATCTTCTGAACTTAATTAAGTACTAATAGTACTTTGGCAACATGTATTTTAGAATATCTTTACATTTTAGGTAATAAAACAGTTGTGATTGGAATACCAGTTTTGTACTCATACTTCAAGAAGAGCTACAATTACATGTGTTACAATAGAAATTGTCTAAATACATAATTGTAATTAATATAAAAAATTTAATTGAAATTATTTGAAATACAAATTTTTCTTTAAAATGTGTTTTATCATTTTTAATACCCCATACCTTTATAGAAATAATACTATTCTGAAAAGGGTTTATAAACTATATTTTTTGTTAACACAGATGATGTGTAAAAATACATATATTATCTATATACAATATTTCATAATATTATCGGTGCAGCAATCAAGATATACATATATTATACATCTAATTAACATTGGAACAGAGATGAAAATGTGCAGAATATCAGTTCATCTAAATAAAATATATAAGAAAAATAGAACTTATAGTGAATTGTTTTTTTTTATAATTTCATTACAAATCACTATAAAGTACATGGTACTTTTAGTTACTAAAGAATTAAATTCAATGAAAACTTTATAATCATAAATTACATATTAAGAATGTGGGAGATTGTGAAAATAAACAATTTAAGAAAAAATATGTTTAAAAATTACATAATTTGTTTATGTAATAAACTCTTCCAGTTTGATCAGTCCTTAAAAAATTAATTTCAAACTTTACAAAAATATATAACAAATGTAGGTACTCTAAAACGAAATATACACAAGAAGGATGCTACTCATTATACTTTTATGAAGATTACGAATTATCCAGCAGTGATCAAACTGGACTTTTAATACATGGAATTATATACTTTTGAAAAATAAACATTAACAATCAGAATTATACTTTCGGTAATTTTCATATTTAGATATATAGAATATCAATTCTACAAGAAAAATGCATTGAAGAATAATCCTCTGTAAAATACTTGATTGTAGTAAGTTTTTTTCTTATTTTAATGTGAAATTCGTTCAACTATGTCTGTATATAATTTATGGTACAATGCGTAACTAACAATAATAATTCAAAGATTTTATTTAATTTTAGAAAATATGAAAATGTATCAGAATAAAAATTTAAATATTAACACAATTTTATAATTTTTATGTAAGACATAAAACTATAACATAATACATAGTTTAAAAATATTGTATGTACCCATTTGTTTCCTACAACATAATTTCATACATACATTGTGTGTGTACTTGCGCATTTGCGCATGTTATTTGTATACCATAAGTATACAGAAATCTTCAAGGCACTCCAGATATATATATATTACATTCATATTTTACAAACTCTGTTATTCAGTTTTTGCACTTGAGGCATTTTAAAGTAGAAATTAAAATCAGATGAGAGCACTTCAACTAATGTTTTCCTACCGCACGCTTTTCTACAGTATAAATTATATTTCTCCACGTAATACATGTTTGAAATTTGTACGTAAAATAAAAAATTATTTTGAAGTGACACTTTATACATGTAGATGTTACAGCAGCAATGATTAAATCAGCAGAATTTCCACCTACTTTCTATTTACAATCGGTTTCAATATCTTTGTTCAGGTAGTACAGTTTTAGAAATATGTATTTCCTAATTTTAAATAGATCTGTTCTCTTTTTTTTTAAATACGAAAAAACAACGCAACTGAAAAATAAATTAGAGACACTGCTGTCTAACAGATATACTCTCTTTCGCATAAAAATTATGTGACTTTAAACTGTAATCGTATCTACAATAATTTCTAAATTACATTAGCAAATATTCTGTATAAGGCGTTTCTCTGATGCGTGTGTATTAGTGACCAATTATGTACTATAAATTGACTGACTACTAAAGACATCTCTTTTGGTTTCTTTCGAGTTTTAACTAATGTCAAGTTTCCTGAAGTAGAACGGAATTACACGAATACAATGTTTATGTATAAGTAAAACAGTACCAAAGTACTATTTAACATCACATACTCACTGTAACCTAAATGAATATGTTTTAAACATTGATGTTCTTGTTTTCGTTATCAACACATATTTTAAATATGCAAACATTAATAACCTGTCTTTATATGAGTGTTAAGTTTATCCAAAATATAGATTGACTTCCTGAATATTGCCTATAAGTTTGCTACTGTCGTATTTCATATACCTTTGGCTTCTCGCTTTTTAGTAATAGCAAGTTTCACAAGCCTTTATGTTCGCACTTAAATACAGTATGTTACAGAAACACTTATTTATAAGAATGCATGTACATCACCATTGCTTACCTAACAACGTTTAGGATAATGTACACAAAGAAGACATGTACAGGTTTTTTAGCTGGTTAATAGTTTTCATACAATGTCTCAACATTAAACACCAACCTCAGTCAGTTTTCGGTTCGCATAGTTGTTTTAATGATTTTAGTTCTTCAATTAACGTCTGATTTCTGTTTTCCAATATCGCGACTCGATTTTCTAAACACTTTATGTATTCTTTCTTTTTTCTTCTGCACTCGCGGGCTGCTTCTCTGTGAAAAAAATATTTAGGTATTTTTTAAATAATCGTATGAACCAAATCAAAATATTTTTTGTTTTACTTAATTACCTGTTTTTAAGCAACCTTAATTCTCTTTTTCTAGCTGCATCTTCTACTACAACACCATGCCCTGTATAAGCTGGAACATTGCCAGAAACTGTATTCCCCAAATTTTTACTTTTTTTGCTCACAATTAATCAGTATAACTTAAAACTACATGTAATTACTACATTACTACTATTAAAAATACTTGAAAAGTATATTTATGAATATAAAATGTAATATACATGTACATTTTAATAATTTAACTAAAAAGAATACAATAAAAAAGTATGAAAAAGTTCGCACCTGGGACAAAAAATTGTGTATCTTGGCCTTGGGCATATTGTACTATAGTTCCTCCTGCTGTGGCTGCATTACTCATAGTTAGCGTGTGAAGCCCAGGAACTCCTTCTCCCTGGGTTGCAATTTGAATGGTACCAGCCGGAATTACTACAAAAATATGCAAATCTTAAATACTTAACAATTATAAGATACAACTGTATATCATCGATAAAGAAAATGCACATCTAGCTCAATAGTTTTCAAATACCATGCTTTTTTAACACTAAAAGCAACATAATGCTTCCACAACTATACTTATTTATTATTACATTTATTATTGTTGTTTTAAATAATTATATAGTACTTTATAAAACATAGAAAGATGCACCGTTTAAATACATATACATATACCTATTTGCAAATAAAATTAAGAACCCCCTAAGCAAGGATGCCACACCAAGCAAACATGATACAAAATATCACATTAGCAATATACATAAAGATAAAAGGAATTAAATTTTAAGTGCTTTAATCTAACAGCTCTAATGTACTCCTCTAACATTGTTTCCTTCAAATTAAAAGACAAAGGCTGGGATAAGTGTAAAGAATCGAATAAAGGACAGCCAGGAAAGATATGTAGAAGAAAAAATAACCAACCTGTCTGATAATGGAGCGAGTGGGAAGACACTTCACTGTCCACGTTAGAATCACACTCAGAAGATGATTCTAGGGGGGGCAATCGACCGTCTGTAACACCGAATTAATACAACCCCTATTATAATAGAGTTGTTATCGGTGTTAATCTGTTTAGACTAAATGAACTTGTAAAATTTCAAAAGAAAAAGAAAATTCACGAAATATTGTTATAATTTAATCTTTCATAGCATTTATTCATCAACTGAAAACATTGGTACCAGATTTACTTAACATTTCTTCTGAAATAACTTTCCTGATTGCATTTTACTGCATAATTTTATATTTCTGAGAAAGCCTGCATCCAGAAAGTAAAATGATTTCTACATAATTTGAGAAGATAACGATAAAAATAAAATTACACCATCGTATGCTATTTCCTTTCTGGCTGCTGTATACATATATCCATCATAATACTGTGCAGTCAGCTCATACAAAAAGGAAATAGATCAAGATGAAAATTGAAACTCATTGATACATATACGCAATCGTGAATAAGTGCAAATAATGCAAAAAAACAAGAGAAAATTCACTATAAATATAATAAAAATTAAGAGACACGTTTAAATATCATTATTTCTTTATATCATTCATTACAAACTTTCAATATTTTTTACCTTCATTATAACTATTCATTTTAAAATACACCTAGAATAGATAAGAATTTAAAAACAATGCATTTTATGAAATATTTTACTTGATTATTTTAATAGTAGTTTCAGACATTTATTTTATTGGTACTAAACAAATATATGTATATACAAATAATAGTTAGAGGAGAATTCACTGTTTTTTAAATATTCTATTATCAATAAGTTAAATTTTATCATAACTTACAGTCTAAGCTTGGTATGGCATTCCTTCTTTATCTATACATAAGATAAAATACTATAAATCTAAAGTGCGACATTCATACTCCCATAATCCTAAAGAAATTAAATTTGTTATAACTTATATTTACTTATTAAGAAATAATGTCAGATTTAATAACTATAAAAACAAATATACTTAAAGTAGGTATGTAACAATAATTGTATGAACTGACATGCACTTTATCATTATCTAAAAATCAGTATACCCTTAGAGATATATTATGATCAGAATAAGCAAATATATTCTATATAAAGGTAAAAAATTGATACTAAATTGTATAAGCAAATCTGATGAGAAGTCTATTGATAAATGTTTCTTTAATGTATGATTTATGTAGTTTTTTCTTAAATTTTTGACAGAAAAGTTTACTATACCTGTAATTTCACCACCACCTAGATCATTAAGAATTTTCTTGTAAGACGGTCGTCTGGTAAGGATACCCCCTCTTTGTTCAGGAGATTCTTCAGAGTCTGAGAAACTATCATCGCTTCCAGTCTCAACCACCTGTTGTGATAATGTAATACAATATTTAATAGTACATAAAATATTATTTGTTATTTAACACAATCAGACCAAGAAAATTTTACTACCTGAAGAGTCTGCAGGCTTGCTTGAGCTGTTTGAATAACAGAATTGGGTTTACTAACAAGAATGACATTCCCTTTTGAAATAGCAACAGGTTGTATATTTGTTGCAGTTTGAATTACTGACTGTTGGTTTGGTTGTATAACAGACTGTACCTAAATAAGTAGAAAAATACAAATTATTATAAAATACTAATGATTTTGAACGTTCATAAAATGTTTAAATAAGAAACAAGGTAATGACTTTTATAATAACTATAAACATGCATATACAAATATTCAACGTGTAACATTAAATACTCTTTTTCATGAACCAACAAAAAAACTGTAATTAGTTAATTATGAAAACAAGCTTATAATAGAGTTTCCTTAATTTGAACCAGCATTATGCAAAATTGAATATGTAGAGTGCTTAAATAAATTAATAGATTAACTTAACTAAACTAAAGTATAAATAAATTATGTATGCATGCTTTAAAATAAAACAAATGAATAAATGATCAGACATAGATACACAGGAGATTCTCCTGTATACCTGTGTTGTTGCTGACGTAGGAAGTGTAAGTTGCACAATGCTGGTAGAGGCTACCAGATGATGAGTTTGCTGCTGATGTGTTCTATTGAGAGATTGTACCGATGTAGCGATTGCTGGTGATGCATCACCACCTTGAGAACCCGTAGATAATGGGTCAACTGCTGATCCATTTTCCTCAACCATACTTTCCATAGCCTGGGAACCTCAAACCCTGTAAAAAAAATATATTTTGTTAATTTTATATATAGATTCCAACTTAATTTTAATGTATCATTTGTTTTTAATACCGAAGTCTATCCTTTTATGGTTGTATTCATAACACTAAATAACATTCAACATGTCAGATAAAAGAATTTATTCGAATAAAAGGTATGGTAACATTTTAATTTATTAGTGCACAAATAAATGCGTTTTATAATTCACTGAGAAGTTCATATTAAATTATCTTCACAGTACTAAATATTTCAGGAAATAAAAATACGAAAAATAATTTGTCACTTAAGAAGTCAAATATATGCATACTTGAAATATCATGAATTGACTTCCAGACTAAAGATTAACATCGTCAGAATAAGTGAGACCAACGATTCGAAAATCGTATCAATTTGAAATCGGGGTTATCCATTAAAGTGCAAAATTTTTAAATTTCCCGCCAGTCAGCGATCGGCGGTGTTACTGCGTCATTTACATAAGCAGATCTAAAAATAATACGAGAACAATAAACACTTGAGATGCTTTCGTAGACGATTGAAGATCCACAAATCAAAAGAAAACATGATGAAACGTGACTCAGATTGTACTGATCAGAATCACGATGTGTCAATTAATGGTGAAAAGAGATGTCAAAATCATCACGTAACCCCCATTGCTCTTTTCGAGAAATTTGTACATCATCTTTAAGGCGCCATATTTTACGGCATATTCCATAGTAGATGTAAAACTGACTGTACTGGGATCATGAAATAAAATGCTGGTAGTTTCGGCAGCATTTTAGATGTACCGTAAGTGCAGTGGTCCATGCCCGGTTGTTATTATTCTCCAGCTGGGTACTTACCAGTTACGTATTTCTCGTCACCAACTTTGCTGCAATCGGAGTGGGCAAACGGGCAGGTACGTAGCAGCCACGTCAAAACTCCAGTGGCTTCGTCACTGGTGGAGCTCACGACCTCCGCGCTGCGCGTCACGATCAAAATGGCCGACGGTTTTCCTCCACCCCCTCATAGGCTGATCGTGAATCGGATAGTGATAGGACTGATCGTCTCGTATCTGTTTGATACTGGTCACGTTTTGTTAAAATTTTCATCCATTTAGCTTGAATAAACCGTAATCGATATTCTACTAATACATTCAAAACTGCTAGTCAGTTCATTATATTTAATATCTTGTGCCTGTTAAATATTATAAAGTATATTTCAGACATGACCATCACGCACTTTGTTCAACAAGTGAGAATAAATATGATATTAGATATTAAATATATCACAAATATAATAGTATTAACTATCCAATGTATTCAATCTTACGTTAATTTACGTTAAAAAGATATGTATCACATATAAATAAAGATTATAAACAGAAAAAAGGCGATGAACAAATGCATCATTTTTCAATTAAAATTTTCCCTACACTTTTGTACAAGATTATTCTGAAATAATATTTAAACAAAAAAATGAATGAAGCGAATGATTAAATGTAAGCGAATACATATTCTCAACATAAACGTTTATGTGATCCCTCAAAGTGTGGTGGTGCTGACGTCATTCGATGACGTCATCATCATATTTAGATATGTCCACATGTTTCATACTCTCAATACCGTATTTGTTATTATTAATGAACTTGAAAATTCCTTTATAATGAGGTAATGATTCATGTTTTACATTTTATATACTACTAATCTCTATATGTTTTAAAAAATGAATAATATCTATTTCAAATATTTTGAATTCTTTCATAAGAAATCTTATATGTTTTGTTAGGAATATATTGTATTAAGAAATTAAAATTGTCGTGTATATAGATATGTATAAGTTGTAATAAAAAATACAGATCTGCTTCGTGCAGATAAATAATAATTTGTGGAAGATAGTATTGGCGTTCTTAATATAAAACATTGAATATCATTCTTTCATTGGATAACTCTCAGATTGTTACTTTGAAATCACTTTTTCTATTGGATGTAACAAGACAGGAATGCCGTGAGCAGTGAGTTTTATTCGTCGTTTAGGAAAAATACGTGAAATGCCAATCAGTATCGAGGTTAGAAATCTCAACACAAGAGCCAATAACAGCGTTTTTCTTCCACAAACCTTTCAAGTGATCATTCATTGAAACAATCTGCATTTTCTCATTGTATGCGTGTCAGCAGTCAGAAGGATAGAAGTGTGGAGTGAACAAACTGAGACCTGTTGTTGACATTTCTCATGACATAACCCTTAAAAGCAAATCGTGTTGTTGTTTATCTATTCGAAATTAACCTAGTATTAACAAACGATTTGTTTCAGCCATCGAATCTTGAGACTGAATTCTTCCATTTAGGACTTGATGTGTGTCATAGCGATTGATAAGGCTCTAAAGTGAATATATCGATTATTGTAAGTGTATTGTTTTGTTCAGAGTAATTGTTAAAATGAAAAGTATTTTCCTATTTAATGTAGTGTACAGGACGTATAAATGATATTTTATATCAATCAGTACATATGAAAAATATTTATCAATATATATAATAAACCTCGCATAATGAACTAACATGCTTTTCCATTTTTGTAATTTGCTTATCTATGTATTATGAAAATCACCAATAGGTAAAATAGTACAATTGTATTTATTATACAAGTATATAATTTATGTCAGAACTTAAAAGAATTTGTTGACATAAAATGTAATGTTCATATGTAATAAATATTAACAGGATCCATAGAGCTTGTTAATGATCTTTCATTCCATTATCTGATCAAACATGGTTATTCATATAATTTTTTTATTATTTCTTATTCTTTATGAAAGTGTTACTTTTACTCAGTTACATTAATCTTTATTTGTTCCTTCATTATTATGAATTTATTTTATTTTTCTTCCAGCCAATTAACAATGCCACAAACAACTACCATTGAAACAATCACTATTACTAGACCATTAAAGGTAAGCTTCAATCTTTTATTATTTTCTATTTACTCTAATTATGATATTCTAGAAATTAAATTACAAAAAGTTGTACTTCATATTGTTAGAAGCAGTAAATGTACAAACTGGTAAAACAATTGTAATTGTACTAAAAAATTAGTATGGAGATAGATAAAATAATAAATACTTCAGGTTAAATTTGATTAAACATTAGATCAATATGACTAAATCTAAAGTTGTAATCATCTGTTGCTTTTATATTAAACATTATCGAAATCTGTTAAAAAAAAAAAAAAGAAAATGAGAGTAATCAGTTAAGAAAATGAAATTGTTTATACGATTATGATAAAGAAAAATTTCCTGTAAATGGAACACGCTCGTCTCAAGTTTCGTCTATATTAAAAAGCACCCTCTACCATGTACGCGCACTGCGCCACGACCTTTAATGGGCGCAGCTTCCCTGGAACCCAATTACTCCCCCAACTTCGAACAGAGAGTATCTCTGACTGACCTCGCTAAACGAACAACTTTTTTACATTTCTGACGAGCATTCAGAGAAAAACCCGTGATAATAATGTAATTCGCGCGATATTCAACCCGACGCGGCGAAAAAATTCTTTTGTAAATTTGATAAAAGTACGTAAAACGTGAAACGTGTTTACCTTGGAGGTGTTTGTCATTCGTGAAAGTTTTACCACTTTGAACAATCTCTATAAATGCTTTGTTGTCTATCGAGGGTGGTTCGTAAAAAGGTATACGATGTTCCGTAAGTGGTGTTTGTCACAAAAACCAAAAAACCAGTGAATTAGAAACGGATTTAATTGAATATTAAATTCCTCCTTTCATCCATTGGGACTAATCTTTACAAGTGTACTGTGGATCTACGATGATCATGTATACAGTCGCGGAAGATCACATGGGCGATACCGAAATCGCACAGGTATTTTTTTACTGATCTTTTGCGGCAAAGAGATAATAGCGTTATATCTATACTGGATCAATTGTTTTGCCTAACTATTTGTTGTGGTATCCTATGCAAATTTTCATTCTCTGATCTGATCTTTTTTTTTTGTCTTGATATTCATGAAAATGTTATTTTTTGTTGATTACAGGTGATAGCATTTATATGTGGAATAATAGTGATACTGTTGATGATAATGGGTTTAGCTTCTACAGATTGGTTAATGGCATTAGGATGGAGACAGGGTTTGTTTGCACATTGCATAGAAGAAGGTGCTCCTACACCTGTACCATTTAATTTGCCAGATACAGCTGGATGTTATCAGGCTAGAGATGTTGGTATGAAAAAGATGATCAATTTCACTTTGTGAGATTTCTCTACTCATGATTCTTCATTTACTTTTATTTTTATCTTTTTAGCCTATATGAAAGCAGCTGCTGCCTTGTGCGTGGTATGTTTGTTAACAGATATTGCTGCAACAATTCTCACTGGTCTTGGTTTAAGATCTCAAGATAACCGTGAGAAGCATAGGTATTACAGATTTGCAGTCTTCTGTATGGGTTTTGCATGTACGTACATTTAAAACTAATTAAGAGGTACTTTCTCCTCATTATTTTATGTACATGTATGAAAAGTAATACACTTTCTTGCATTTTAGTGGTATCCCTCCTAATAGCCTTAGTAGTATACCCTGTGTGTTTTGCTACAGAACTTAATCTCGGTAAGTATACGTATAGTTTTGTACAATTTTGAGATGTATCTTAAAATTTACATGCGTGAAAAGTATATCATTGATACAATAAAATTATTATAATGTATTGTGTTACAGGAAATCGAACGTCTTGGGAATTTGGTTGGGCATATGGAGTTGGTTGGGGTGCAGCTATATTTTTGTTCGGTGGAGCTGTGTTGTTATTATGCGATAAAGAAAGCGAAGAAATTTATTACAAAGAACGAAAGATCGTACGCGACGATATCGGCGGTGGAGGTTCTATGATCGGAATGGGACATCATGGTGGACGAAGTGGGACGCAATTAGCCTAGTGGCATTGCTCCCTGCCCGACGTTGTTCTCTAGGTGATTAACATTTTCTTTTTCTGTCCTCACCATTTGATATATATGTGAAGAAACGTACACACGTATAAGAGCAAATGGTTTTTATACATATGGTGTACTTGTTATGACAGCATATATTGGACATAATTATCACTTTGATATAGAACGTTTAAAACATCAGTCCATTATTGGATGTTTGACGAAACGAGGTTTGTAAGTTGACTGAGACTTGATAAATTTATTCATGGGTTACCAATTTCCACGTTTTTCATAGCAACAATTTCGGGACCATTGTTATTTTTAGTTTACTGTAGTATTGTTTCTTGTGTATATTATATAATTACAAATATTTTTTACACGGTATATTTACATTATTTTTTTTACTGTACTGATTAACTTTTTTATACTATTATAACGGTAGCATTGATGCTGCGTTAATTTGAATATCGCTTGATAACAACGATATATTTACTGTTGCTACTTAAATTTGTTGATTTACATTAATATAACTTTCACTGTGCCTCCATTAACGGTTTATCGTGTTTGGCTAGCTTAAAAAATAATCTTTGCTATTTGAAAAACAAAAAGTCGTATTTGTGTACTTAATATCAATTTGATATTTCATTGTTTGAGGACATTCTGATAACGATTTCAGCGATAAGAAGCTAAAAAATATGCGAGTAATTAATATAATTATAGTACAAGAACACTGCCCTTCTTTAGTCAAGTAATGATTTTTATGTTCATTAATTTCATTTTTACGTAACAATTGCAGCTTCGATTTAACTAGTATTTATTATGTTTTAGTATATTTCCTATGTGTGGTATGTACATATACATATTATATGCACATATAATTAGACGCTACTAATTTATTATTCGCTTACATTTACTTTTTCATATTATTATTATTATTAGAAGTGATATATGCTTTAATTAATATGATTTATATTATTGTGGTATTTACCAATATTTTTGGTATAATGTTACGAACTAGTAATGTTTACTACTTATGCTTCCATGTGTTTTGCAATAAATTTTGGCCAAAAATTGTTGTAAATGACATATCGTATGATTGCATATACGCACAGAAGTTATATAAATGAAATTATAAAAAATCAAATTAGGTAAACTAATCTTGAGTATTCCAAAAAAGTAAAAATATTAATTATAATAAGATTACATACTTGGGCACACTTGTTAATTATTACGAATAAGAATTTCTGAAATAATTTTTTCACCAGTATGAGTAATTACGTATCAGCAGCAAAATTATTAACGTTTATATTACATCGTATCAATTATTTTTATATTTATACAAGTCGATCTAAAGTCTTCCTTTATTTTTCATAAAAATATAAATGCTTCTTTATTGTTTTACGAAACATGCAAATGCTACCTCTGATAAATTTTCATTTTTCGAGTACCATTAAGTTATAGATACGTTAATTATATAAAAAGTGCGCAAAAGAAAGTAAAGGAAAAACACGTGTAATTCTTTCGTACGAAACAAAAAATACTATTTAGTTTATCTGCGTACAAAATTTAATTTAAGTTTCATGTTAAACGCGAAGGAAAAAGTTCAGATGTTATTGAGAATGAATTTACTAAATTATGGACATTAAGCAAGACATGTATGCAATGTGAGAGCTGACATACGTATGCGTTATGATGTTTCTGATGATATTTTCAATATTATGTAAAAAATGTAATATTGAAAATTCATTAAATGTAGTCGGACGTTGATACAGTTTCTAACAGTATTATGTATTTCATAGTAACTCTTAATTGGTAACCATTTATTTTTTTCATTAATCGAATGAACGGTTTATAATTTTTACCCATTGCCTGTAAGGAGAAGTTTAACTTCCTCACAAGTCGAGTATATTTTATGTTTAAACACAGCACTGAATATTTAAGTGTGCGATGGAATAGAGACAGCTCGGGCAGGTATTATGTATTATGTTATCTGCATTACATACGTGTACGTATATGTATATATATAGGTATTTTATAAATACATGTAATAGAATAATATACTTGCAGTTATTGCAATACTCTAAAGTCTAAAAAAAAAAGGAATATACAGCTCATATATGCATTTTGCATAATGTGGCTGATTGATCATGCTTTATATGAGACAAAAAGGATTTATATTTTAAAGCTAAGAGTTATAGTGTGTTTGATTCTTTACCAAACACTGGTCGATTTGCGCCTTTCAATTTTGATATACTTTTAACAAAATGAAGTACCATATAAGACTAAACGTAACCAAGTATTTAAATATGTTTAAAAAAAGTAACAAATGAACCATTAATATGTTAATTAAGTATATATATATATATTATACAGAAAAGTGTACGCATAAATGAAAGATTTCAAGTTGTTGTTAACTGAATACAATTTATACATCTTCTCTGCTATACTTTATCTCTTAACTATTTTGAAGCAAAACAGAAAGTACTACTCCTAATGCAACTAATTTAAAGTTTCAAAATTGTCTAATCAAATCTACTTGAAATTTCAATTTGCGACTAAATAGTTTCTAAACTTCCAGTTAAGCTTTAATTTTCTTTTTATGTAAAAAAAAAAAAGTAATACTTTATCATATGCTTACACTTCTGTAGTAGAATGTCAATGTAGATAATAGACTATTGCTTAATACTTTACTGGCATTGTCATAAGTAAACAGATGAAATGATTGTAATTAAATGAGTATAGATATAACGTAGTATTAATAGAGCACCATATCAGAGTAAAAAACATTAGTTGTTTGTTACATGTATAAAATCAATTCTCTATCGTGTATAGTGAATGAAAAGTAATGAAATGAAGTATACTATAAGTCTAGTTTAACTTCTGTAACATATTCTTTTTTACGAAATCATATTAATATAAAACTGAAGTTACATGTTTAAGAAAAAAACACGATAGAGAAAACATTTCTTTTCAGACAACTGTTTAAACTATAGCACTTTTTTAATTTGTAAATCGTAATAAGATATCCGTCGAAAATTTTGAATGATTATTTACAAAATGAAAGAGGAATGCATTGTAGCGATGAATTTATGAATTTTAAACCGAAGTAGTAGAACGTAATTTACTGGATAGATAAAACATCTCATATTGTATAGTACACGTATCGTACTTATTCCATGCATATCGTAGTGTGTCACGAAACGTATTGACGTGAAAACAAATAAATAATGTGTAAATTCATTTTCCTTGTCGAGAAATGTTCAAAGCGATATCGGTAGAACTATACGAATGAATTATTTATGCGCCATATTATAAAATGTAAACATATCGTAATATTGTACAAAGAAATAAACTATATATCTGAAAAAAATGTAATACCGTCTATAACATTTTCTATAAACCTTACATCATTAATAAAAATTATACGTGCTCCGAACTGCCCCTGGCAGGAGGCAACCGGAGGAATTTTCAGGAGTAATGTTTAACAGAGTAAGAGGGGTTGCAAACCGGAAGGGGAAAGAATCTTACGTTTCTTTTTTTAAATAATAGTATTCAGCAATATAGCAATACAAATAGTAAAAATGATTAAATCGAAGAGATTTTTCGAAGAAACCTAACGTAACAAAATTTTCGAATTCATATTAACAATGATACAACGATACGGTCTTTTTAAGTAATAAATACATGTGCGCGTATTTTGCGTAATGCGTGCGTGTACGTGTATGGAACACAAGTATTGCTGAACAAATTTCACAGTATGTATCATCCGTATAAATACAAAATAAGATTACATTATATATATTTATATAAACCTAAACAAAAAAAAAAGGTAGTGTACAAAATATAAATCTATCCAGGATTTTAATAGAAAAATTAATTTCCTTTGAAAATATATATGTACACGCAGACTTCCGTTCGTCCATGCCGGTAGCAAAAAAACAACTTAACAGCACATTTGCGAAAAAACTATGATATACTTTTCTCACTGGGTAACTGATATAAATTTTTTTCTTCCTTTCTAATATTCTTTCTTTTTTTCCTATCACATTCTTTCCTGCTTTACGGGTTTTTCCATTTGCCGATCCTTTTTCCTCTTTCGAGAAATCTCTATCGCATTTGGCAGTAAAATATATATATATCATAGATGTTTAACGTGCTAACATTTTATAAAGGATATAAAATATCTTACGCACTCTCAGAAAATGCTATTAAATATACTGGACGTACAATCGTCCAGGCTATAGTGTAACAGCAATAAGAGACTTTTCAAAAAAAACGTCAAAATTAAACAATCAAATGTTGTACTACTGATTTCATCGTAAAACTAAACGTGCCCGATAAACTTGTACCGGAGTTCCGAACTGTTTCATTGTTCTTTTTTCTGTAGCATCGATGAATGAAAAAAAAATTAAAAAACAATTTTTAATATTGTCAAAAATTCTTTGTGGCCAAGTTGAGGCACTAATACATCAGAAGAATAAATCACAGGCACTGCTCTGTGCTTTTTTTTTTTATCTCACCCCGTACGGAAAGAGGCTCTTTATAAATTTTCATCAACAAGATTCGAAAATGAAAACGTGAAACTCTTAAAAATTTGATCCTCTTCAAAACAATGCGAAACGTCCTGCGTATAAAGACAACGTTTCATATTCGTATTATCATACAAATTCATATCTGATCATCGAGTTAAGAAAACTCGGGAACTTGAACCTTAAATCAGTGGTACTCGTTATTATTTTTCTGTACTATCATATTTATTATGATATCTGAAATAATTTTGAATTTCCGTAATAATTATAGATTATTTATCGAGGATACCACTGTTTTAAGTTTGTAGCTACTAAGAGATAACAATATTTATTAAAATATACCTCGAAACTTCATTTTCTTCTCAATAACGCGTACACTCGTATATTACTTAAAACTGATACATTTATTAATCCTTCTGTAAATATTTATAACCATAAATACGCAGGAGATTCTTAATTTTCCTCCAATTAAATTTTCACAACGAAGAGAAAAAGAAATAATACAGTTGAGATATAACTGAACAACGTATACGAGCGTACACGATAGACGGGAGTCTAATAACGAAACCTAAGACCTGTAATGAGACTACAAGATGTAAGCGTTGTTATAAAATACAAAAGACTTTTTATTTAGAGAGCTATGTGAAAACTAGATCTTTGCACTGCCGACAGAGTAAGGAGATTCGACTCGGTTAACCTGGTCTCGATATTACAGTTCATCGAACACCTGCCGTGTAACTAACTTAAAACCGCGTTAATCAATTAACAAATATCCTTATTACTTAAACGAATATCAGTTCGACGATAGCTTTTTTTTTTGGTCCTATTTACCGATACTACGAGCTCATCATCGTGATCGGCCTGAAAGAAGCATTAAACCTTTCTATCCATACTGACAATAGTAGGCGTAACGATGGGCCTAATCTAACTGAGTATCATAATTTCATCTCCCAAAGCACGATATGAGCATCGTTGCTGTTGGGATCTTTGAAAGTGTAACCCGATTTAGAGGCCTTGTCGGGGACGGACTGCGCGTTCAGTTGTCTCCAATTGATGTAACCACGACCACCCATCAACGTCAGAACAGTCCGTTTAGGTTGTTCTACCTGCTGCAATGTCTTATTGATCTTTTTGCCATTTGGTTTCAGATTATTAGGCGGCGGTATCGCTTCCGGTACCGATTGTACTATACTACTGTTAGGGGTGGTCGTTTCGTATGGGCCATTTCGACTAGCTGTGCTACTGTTCCGTGACAATTTCCCAGTTTTCAGAGAAATATTTTCTTCGGAACCTGACGACGTGTACAGAGAACTGGCGTGAGAATCGACAGACCAATTCGATAAATCCAAGGACCTTGGTCTTGTAATCTTCATCTTCAATCTACGATCTAAGGTACTAACTTTATTTGGTATGGCTGCCAATTCTGGCTCGCTTCTTCTCAAGGATTCATAGATCGGATCGATACCGGAGCTGTTCTCGTTCTCGTAATCTTTTACGTACATCAGTTCACCGTATAAACCGTAAACGTCGCAATTCTCCCCGGAGCTCTGTGATCCGGACATCGAGCTCGAGAGAAAACCTCCACCAGAACCGAGACCTCTTGGGAGCGTTTTCGAACCTTTGTATTCGTACTCCTTGCTTCGTTTCCGTCTTAACATTACCGGGCTGCCTGCCAGTTGTTGCTTCAATTTAATAATACTATTTGACATGGAAGAATCCAAGCTCGCTCGATCCCTGGTACTTCTACTGTTCTCTGTTTCCTTCGACCTCAATTGCACAGTTTCCTCGTCATTGATCTCTTCCGTAGCGGTTGGACAGTTTATCGTGTTCTTAGGATTTTGAATAGCAAGGAGAAAAGTAATAGGACCGAAATGGGCGTGATAAGAAATATTTACACGGCCGCTGATGATGGGCACTCCTTCTAATCGGGGGAGAGGAATCGTCAAACTTATGCCTACGTTAGTACCAACCCAGAGAAGCCCTTTGCACGCCAACAGTGCTGTCACCGTGACAGTGGTCTGATTGTTATTTAAGTTGTCGCCGCATGAATTCGTAGCGTTATTCGATCTCGTCACTCTCAGTACATTGGACGCTATGTTGATGTCCTGTAAATGTTTAAACGTTTCCGTGTGATACAGGCAGACGGTGCTGGAATTTTTCAGAGCAACCCAAAGCCCAACTCCGGAATGAGCCATCAGTTTCACGCTACCAACATGTTCGTGTTGCACGCTGAAACTCTTTGTAATGTCACCATTCACCCCATGAAGTACCCAAACTTTCTTACCACAGGCAGCATACACCGATGTATTGATTGGCATCAAACACGAGACCGGTTCGCTGCCCAGGGATATTACGAATGGATCTCTGAGGTTCCAAGTGCCGTCCGCTTGTCTCTTGAACAAAAGAAGCAGACCAATACCCAACGCGACAAAAACATTGTCGCAGTGATGCTTGATCTGTATCACCGGGCCGGATACGGAGTAGTTTCCTAGCTGTTCTTGTTTCTCTGGCTCCGAGGCGGCGTAAATGATTATTTTCCGAGAATCTGTGCCCATCCAGACGAGATCGTTCGCCAACGATAACGGATCAGACGACACACCCTTTATAAATTCTATAGCAGCCACTCTAGTTTCTACTAAATCGAAAGCGGTGACCTGTTTCAGTAAAGTCGTCGATGCTGTTGTTGATTGACCGAATACTGTTATATGACTGGATATACCGTCTCCTGTACATATCCACAAGTAACTTTGACTTCTGCCACGACGCCTGGTGGGTCGAGAATTTTGCGTCGTATAGTAGCAACCGCAACGTACCTAAAGAAGGTTTATCTTAAGTACTGCTTTCCTGAAATTTAAAGTATTCTATTATATCGAAGGTGGCTTACTTCTGTTTGATGTTGCGAATGATACACTTGTTGCGAGCTAACGAAAAGTGGCATTTTCGTGGATGGTCTTTGTTCTTGTTCAGGTACTTCCCAAGAAGGAGAATTGTTCGGATCTAAGGCTAGTTGGGCTAACCTAAGTTCTGTTATCCAGTCTTTTTTTACTAGAGGATTCTCGGTTTGGAACGTGTACATCTGGCCTTGTTTCGTTACTAACTGTAAACAACAACTATCTGCCCAAACCATATCCTCGTCTTTTTGTTGGATCGAAAGTTGTATAGACTGTAAGATTTGCTTAGTTTTCTCAAGCGTCATTCCCTTTAAATCAAAAACATTCATTTGTACAGATACATACAATACCAAATGACTTAATTAACTATTATTCCTTACCTCGTATTTACCCTTTAGTTGTGCAACTAAATCACTTATCCTAGACATCACCTCGTAATCGTGCATTAAATCGTTCATTTCTACACAGAGATTATCCGCACCCGCTTGTCCACCCTCACCGCTTTTGTCGGACTTCAGGCTGCCACCTTTGTTCAAGCCGGCAGTCAATAAGCGGCTTAGCGTTGGCGAAGTACTTGTATCCTGAATCTGTAACAAAATATATACATGTCTTATCCGCCCTGTATAACACCGTCGCTATTATCGCTATTGTCATAATAACGTTAAGTATGCTAAGTCTCAAACTACAAGTGCATACCTCTATATCTGATACAGGATACGTCCATTTTAAGGTTAATCTCTCGCTTCCACTGAAGTCCTCTGTGGACCGTGGGGTTACGGAAACGCATACTACGAGATCGTTTAACAACAATAACCTTCTTCTCTTGGATTTAGTTATCATGCCATTTTGATTAAACTCCTATAATAATTGATTTTACATGTAAATAATACATGTATTGTATTGTGATATTAAAAGTTATACGCTTACCAGTTGCGTGACGTTATCTTCCC